TGCCACTTCCCAAGTGCTGGATTACAGGCATGTGCCATCATGCCTGGCACGACATGAAACCTTAGCCATGAGTGTTCAAGAGAAAGGATAATGATAAATGAAGATGGGTCTTAAACAATGACAGCTGGATGAGCTAATGAGTTTTAAAAATTATTACTACACAGCTTACTACACACAGAGAACTAAAATTAAAGATGACAAAAATGCTCATTGATTGAATTATTAGCAGTGTCTGGCACACAGGAATACATAAAGTAAGCTGGACTTGGAAGGGAAGTCAGGGAAGCAGTTTTCCTTCTGAAGTGATTCTACAGTACGGGCATGATGTTTGAGCGGCTACGGTTAAAACGCAGGCAAGAAAGGAGAGTAATGAAGATACTCTTTTTAGTTCCGAAGATCTTTAGTTGGTATTCCTTATCAATGTCCACGATATACCGTGACTACAGAGACTATAAATTTCCACACAGACTATACAAAAAGGCAGAATGATAGGGAGGACAGTGACTCTGGAGGACCGGGGCTCCAGCCTTCACTATGCCTCTAACTGGCTGTGTGATTAGGGGTGAGCTGTTTAAGCTCTTGGTCACCTCATCTGTAAATGTGAGGATAGACTGAAAAGATCCAAAGGTTCCCTAAGTGATAGTGTATGATTATTACAGTGTGGGTAAATTGTTCTCAAAGGATATTCATAGTCTCATCTCGGCAACTTGCAACTATATTGTCTACAGCAAGGGAATAGTCAGGTAGTGAATAAGCTAATAAGAAACTATAAAGGAAGGAGGTTATCTTGAGTTATCTGGCTGGGGTCAATGTAATCACAAGGGTTTTTTATTTATTATTATTTTTACGTGGTTTGGTGTTTGACCTACTGTCTTTGTGAGGGAGTTGGATCCACTACAACCTGACTTGTGGTCAGTTTTGAGTTGCCATGTTGGTCCTGGGAATTGAACCCGGATCCTCTGGAAGAGCAGCCAGTGCTCTTGACCACTGAGCCGTCTCTTCAGCCCCACAAGGGTTCTGACAGTGCACATACAGTAAGAGTCAGATTGATGTCATGTGAGGAAGACTCAACCGACCATCTTTGGCTACGAAGATGAAGGGGGCCTGACCAAACCAGGATAGAGGAGTTACGAAAGTGTAAAAAACAAATTCTCCCCTACATCCCTCAGGAAGGAAGCCCACCCTACTGACTCCTTGATTTTGGTCCAGTGAGTACTAAGCCAGGCTTATGACCTCCAGAGCTACCATAATATTAAGTCAATTAAATCTGTGGCAAATTGTTTCAGCAGCAAGAGGAAAGTAATACACCCACAACACATCTGTAAGGGACAGAGCCAGACCCAATTTTTTTTTTTTTCCGGTCTTTTGAGACAGGGTTTCTCTGTGTAGCTTTGTGCCTTTCCTGGATCTCGCTCTGTAGACCAGGCTGGCCTTGAACTCACAGAGATCCACCTGCCTCTGTCTCCCGAGTGCTGGGATTAAAGGTGTGGCCACCACCACCCGGCCCAGACCCAATTTTTTTTTTTTTTTTTTTTTGGTTTTTCGAGACAGGGTTTCTCTGTGTAGTTTTGCACCTGTCCTGGAACTCACTTGGTAGTCCAGGCTGGCCTCGAACTCACAGAGATCCGCCTGGCTCTGCCTCCCGAGTGCTGGGATTAAAGGCGTGCGCCACCACCGCCCGGCTCAGACCCAATTTTATGCAGGGTTCTGAATAAAAATCAGGTATTTTTTAGGAATTAAAAAAAAAAAAAAACCAAGATCATGAAAACTTTTTACAAAAATCTGTGGAAATTAGTAGTCTAGGGAATAGTTTTTTATTAGTTATTCACATGAAAAATAGAAACTCAGATATTCTATAAAGAAAATGGCAAGGGAAATTAGGGCATTTATACATAATGTAAGTTTTTAGGCCCTGGCCTACTTATCTATAAACTGAGGGGGTGGGACCAATAGCCCCTACACTTTCTCTCTCTTTGAAATAAGGTTTTAAAATCCTGACATCATAAACGTAGTCTTCACACCCGAGTCTGAGGAGTAATCACTGTTGACGGTACTAAGGTATTTGCAGTATTTGCTGGTCAAGCTTCACAGAAGGTGCTGGACTGAGCCAGGCTATGCACATGCACAATTGAGTAACAACCTTTCAACTTGGTATGTTTTTGATGGAACCATTTCTAAAGTTAAGCATACTCCCCACTTTTATATAAAATGAATATCACATTTTATCTTTTGAAGAACCGTCACTAGGATTATCAGTTAGTTATGATGGGCTCCAAGAAGACGACCCTCTATACACACAGGGATCATAGACAGAGGTCTGTCGGCCGGCTTTTTGTAGGACTTGGGAGATAGGAATGATTTTTCACATTTCTAAAAGGTTGCTGCAAAAATGTGACCTAGACCACGTATCAATTACCAAACTTAAACATTTACTATCTGGAGCTTTACAGGAAGGTGTGCTGGCTTCTCTAGAGAAAGATGCATAAGCCTACTCACCAAGTGTCTCAAACTATATTGTCTGTCACTTAAAAAAAATCATGTCTATTTTGGCATAACTTATGACAAAGTAGCAGCTCAAATATTTCTGAAAAGAAACATTTGAAATTTAGGGACAGACTTGGTGGCGTAAGCCTGTAATCCCGTTACAACAGGATAGTCTGGTCAAGGCCTGCCTGAGTCACATAGTCCAAGTCTAGCATGGGGAAGGTAGTGAGATTCTGTCTCAAAATAATAAAAGGTTAGGAGTGTAGTTCAGTAGTAGTGTGCTCACTTGTTATGCAAGGGACCTGGGTTCAATTCTGGTACCACACACACAAAAGTATGTAAAATTTAATTATTTGAAGTTCTCTTGCTATCGCTATGCTGTATTTATTTATTTATTTATGGAGCTGAGGACCGAACCCAGGGCCTTGCACTTGCTAGGCAAGGGCTCTACCTCTGAGCTAAATCCCCAACCCCTATTGCTACACTTTAAAAAATGATTTTTTTATTTTTAATTCTGTGCACATGTGTAGGTTTGGGCACAGGAATGCAGGGCCCTTAGAGGTTAGAAGGTGTGGGATCCCCTGGAGCTGGGTCACTGGTGGCTGTGATTCAGTGCTCTGAACGGTTGAGCCATACTGTCTGAGGTCTCTGTCAATCACGCTTACCTCTACCGGTCTCCTTTCTAGTTCCATCTTTTGATGTTGAGTTTGGTAATTTGACAACATATATTTATCTAGCCATCTATCCTGTATGTCTAGTGTGTGTGTGTGTGTGTGTGTGTGTGTGTGTGTGTGTGTGTGTGTGTGTACCACACATGTGGAAGGAAGTCAGTTTCTGTCCTTCCACCATAGTGGGCTCCAGGACTGAACTCAAGTCATCAGGCTTAGGACAAGCACCTTTACCCCCCAAGTCAGTGATTCACAATCTTCCTAATGCTGTGACCCTTTAATACAGTTTCTCATGTTGTGGTGACCCCCAACCGTACAATTATTTTTGTTACAATTTCATAACTGTAATTTGCTACTGTTATGAATCATAACGTAAATATCTGATATGCGGACCTCCAAAGGGTTGAGACCCACAGGTTGAGAATAACTTCCCTAAGCCCTCTTGATGACCCTGATAACAATTTGTAAATATTTTATTAAGAATTTTTTTGTTCATTTTACATACCAATTACAGATCCCCCTCTTCCCTCCTAAGTGATTTTTTTTTTTTTTTTTTAAGATAGGGTTTCTCTGTGTAGCCTTAGCTGTCCTAGAAGTCACTCTGTAGACCAGGCTGTCCTTGAATTTACAGAGATCTGCCTGCCTCTGCCTCCTGAGTGCTGGGATTAAAGGCGTGCACCACCACTGCCCCAATTTGTAAATGTTTTTAGCAAGATTAAGTTGGACATGTTGGAGCCTGGAGCTTTTTTTTTTTTTTTTGGTTTTTCGAGACAGGGTTTCTCTGTGTAGCTTTGCGCCTTTCCTGGAACTCACTTGGTAGCCCAGGCTGGCCTCGAACTCACAGAGATCCGCCTGGCTCTGCCTCCCGAGTGCTGGGATTAAAGGCGTGCGCCACCACCGCCCGGCTGGAGCTGTTTTTAAAGTAGATATTGGTAGTTTGGTGCAACCATTTGGTTACTTTGATTACACTAAGGCCTTATTTCAAGGTTTTCTGTTATCATTTGGAAAAAGGTTTAGGGACGGATGAGGTCTTCATCATAGTAGACTTAATCATTTAAAAAATGATATTAAGTTGCATTATATTAGAAATGTGATCATTAACAAACAGAAGTGGAGTAGTATGAATCTTTTTGGAGTATCTGAGTTATTTTTCTACAACATGTATACTTTCATGCTTAAAACACTGTTTTCAGAAAAAAAAGACAAATCAGAAGGATCTTTCCTTCAATCTCTCTGATTAACTCAACTATTTTCATTTAGCATGTTTTTTCATCACTATTTGATCATAGTTTTTTAGTGAACATAATTATTATTTTTTTTTTTTTGACTCACACTTGGGTTTATCACAAGGTTGACCAACGGTTCACTTCTACATAAAAGTAAACTGTAAACAAGAGACACTGCAGGAATGCCAGCGATCGATAGAGTGAAAAGGTGTGTGTCTTTTTGCCTGGACGCCTTATTTCACACGTGTTCAAGGGAGTAATACCCAGTTGGGCCTGGTTGACAAAACACTTCTTGTTGTCCTCAGAACAACCCTGTAAGGTGGGTACATTCTCAGAGGTGGAAATGTCGTGGGGCAGCCTGGTCAAAAGCCAGGGGCAGCTGTTTAGGGGAGGGGTGGGATGTCTTTCGGTATCGGAGCTTCCGTTCAGGGGCGCCCAGTCCCTTCCCTTGTCATTGACTTCCACAGACTCGAATTCTGCCTTTTCCACGTGAGAAGTCGCGCCGTGGAAACCTAAAGCTCACTGCAAAGCTCCACGGTGGGTGCCCACAGCCCCCGAGGCCCGGGCACCCAACAGGGTGGCTCGCCCTCCCGAGACCCTGCGCGGCGGCCCCCGCACTAACCTGACCAGGTCGGTCATGCAGGAACCCACCACCACCACCGCCGCCGCCGCCACCTCCTCCTGCCGGGGCCTCGCGGGCTCCCCGGACGCCGCCATTCCCAAGCCTTGCTCTAGCTCAACCCGGACGCTGCCCTTTGCCCTTTGCCTGAACCCGTAACCAGGGACGCCGCGCCTTCCTCCCTAACGACGCGGGCGTGCTGCACGCCGGTTTGGGTCGCCCACCCTAATGCCCGTGAAACCTCCCGGGCCTCCGGCCGGTCCCGGTTCTTCTCGGACCCATGTTCCCGCCCCGCCGCCCGGCACGGGGCCGAGCCGCCACGGCGAGAGTCGGCCCGGCTCGCCAGGCTCGAGGCGGCAGCCGCGGGGAACCTTCAGGCACTACCCGGCCGCCTTCCTTCGCTTCCGGCCGGGCTCTCGGCGCGGGGACGCGCACGCCCGGCCGGCTCCGGAGGGAGGTGTGTGGGGGGGGCGGGACGTCCGGGTGGGGGAGCGCGCACGCATCCGGCCCGCGGTTCGCGCGCAGGTCGGTGCGTCGGTCGGGGGCGCGCTCGGGTAACCTGTACCCCGTCTAGTCGCCGGTTACTGATCGGACTTAAGTTCCAGGTACCTGGACCCGGGCTGGTGCGGGGAGGTTGGATCTCAGGCGCACAGGTGGCGCCGAGAGCCATGTTTGAATCTGGCCCGAGAGCTAGCCTCTTCCTCAAGAGAAGGCCCGCGTTCCAAAGATGCCCCGCTCGCCCCCCAGCACGCGGATCCCCCTCAAGAACGAGCCCCCAAGACCCGAGGCTTCTCTCTCTCCCCACATATCTTGCTCACTCATGGTCCCCGATGAAGCCCGCTTCTTTTGCGCTTAATAGAGGGGGGAAAATCATACAGTTTGGGAGAGAGGGTTGGATGCCTTTAGGGTTTCCTCAGAATGGGTGGCCATTCTTTGGATCTGAACCGGTTCGCTCTCCCCATCCCTCCCCGATGTTGCCCCAGTGGAGAAATTGCTCCCCCGCCGTAACTTCCTTCGTGCGCCATATGACGTGAACGTGATGCAGCAGGAGGCCACCCCTTTCCGTTCCATGACGTCAACGGGGCACATGTTTCCGTGTTTGTCATCCTCCTAATTGCAAGAGCCTGGTCGGTGCTTTATACGTCTTTGTATTCCCCAGATAGCCAGCCCACCAAAAGACCTCATGTGACCCTACCTTACGGCAGCAGATTTCTATAAAAATCATATATTTGCATTTTCCTCCTGCAATACGTCAAAATCAGGAAATACAAATTGCAAAAACAAGCGTTCAAGAAAGCCTGGCCACCAAAAATTCCTGCCCCTCTGGGTTCCGTTATAATGGTGCCATGTGTAAAAAAGAGGGTGTGTGTGTGTGTGTGTGTGTGTGTGTGTGTGTGTGTGTGTGGTTTGTTTCCAGTCTATATCCCTGCATATTGTACCAAAAGACCATCGTTTTTTTTTGTTTTTTTTTTTCAAATTCCTGATTTGAGAGTCAGTATAGTTTTTTTTCTCTTTGTTAGAGAATTCACCCTTCACAACTGAGCCATCTTAAAGCTGCACAAAACTGTGTACTGTCAAAAAATTGTATTATGCCTATTATGCCTGCTCCGGAAATAAAGACAGAAATCCATTCCCTCAGGTGTGATCCTAAAGTCTTGACACTTGCTGAAGTGGAATGGGTTGTCATCGTCACTGGTGTGGTTTGGCATCTGGAGTAGGTTTTAGGTTTGTTTCTTTTGGCATTTTAACTAGTGAATCACTCAGACTAGCATCAACACTGGGTCAGCAGGAGCCTCGCTGATTTCTAGTTGTAAAGTCATCATGTATAAATTCATAACCATGTCTTCATATTTAACAAGGTGTATGCTTTAAAAATTCACCTTGCTGCTTCCTTTAGTGGCCAATGGGATTAATGCTTGAGAGGAAAATGGGAATAGTGGCCTTTGAGAGAGGTCTGGATTTGGATTCTAATCCTTCTGTTTGCTCTGTGTGTGACATGAAGTAACTTGGTCTCACTGGCCTTCAGTTTTTATATTCATAAAATGGAAACAATAGTCATTAAGAAACTGCTGTGGGGGGAGTGGATAGCTGTACAGAGAGAGGTGAGGAATAGAGAGCTCCTGTGTGAGGTTTAGAAGGTGCTAGTTTTGTTTCTCTTTCTTAGAGAAATTTGAGGTAAAATAGTAGGTACTGTGAGAAAAAAAAAGTCATGACAAAAATCAATTATTGTCATGAGAGATCTTTCTGTGTGCTCCTACCAGATGACTATTTCTGTGTTTTGTCTGTGATGTAAATAAGCATCCCTTTCAGGAACTGTGACGTTGGTGGGTAGAAATCAGGTAGGAGTACTGTAGAATTTAGAAAGAGAAATCTTTAAGGTGATTGTGTCAGTTAGTATATTATTCAAAAAACAGTTAGCCTTCTCATCTAGAAAATGGGAATTGGAAACCTGCCTTATACATGTTGTGGATGGCAACACTGCAGATAAAAGTGTTTTATAAGTGATGTGATGCTATAAAATGTATGTTTTTTTATGATAGATAGTTTACTCTTGCCTTGTGATGGCGTATTAGAATGGTATGGGGAAGTCATCTACAAAGGAGTCAGAAGAGAATCATTTGGAGACTAAAGTATATAGTATAAAGCTTAACCACTCAGAAATATTTCTGGGTGGCATCATGGGGTCATCATGGTATTTTTTTTTGGAAAGCTCTCTACAGTCATTTCTTTATTACTATCTAAAATGATAGAACAAGTATTCAGTTTTGCAGAGCCTGTAAGTCCGTGTGTGCCGTGGTGTGTAGAAACTAGATCCAGAGCAGCAGGCACTCATAATTGTAACTGGGTGGAAATTAATTAGCTTTCAATGTGGGATTAACCTTTCAGTTTGAGAAAGACAATGATCATTTGAATTGACTTATTCACCTCTAAAGTAGCAGCTTTCATTTAGAAGTCTATTAGGAATTCGTGCTCTCTCTCCTCCAGCTCCATGAATATCCAAGTAGCGTGGATGTGATTTATTGCTTTTGTATTATCAAGGGTAGAGACATCTTAGTGCCTGAAAATCAAAGATTGAAAAGACTCAATTAGTTTTTGTTGCTTAGATCTCGACAGGACTATGTTTTTATAATTTAAGTGTTAAGTACATTTTTTTTTTTTGCTTCATTTGTTCCTCAGATTCTGCTGGATTCATTCCCCTCGTGTGTGTGTGTGTGTGTGTGTGTGTGTGTGTGTGTGTGTGTGTGTGTGTGTACATGGTATATATGTGTGTGTATAGCATGTATATGTCTGTGCATGCCCATTTGCCTTGGTGTGCACGTGTGGAGGACAGAGGTCAGTGTTGAGTATCTTTCTCTCTCATTCTCTACCTTAGGTTTTGAAACTGTCTCTTCCTGACCTTGGAGTCCACCATTTTGGCTAGACTGGCTTGCCAGTGAGCCCTGGTGATCTGCCATGCTGCAACCCCCAGTGCTGGGGTTACATGTGTGTCACAGGGCCTGGCTTTTTACGTGCTTGCTGGGGGTCTGAACTCATGTGTGTTCAGCAAGCATTTTACTCATTGAACTGTTTTCTTAGGTGCCTCACACCCTATCAGTTTTTGAGGGTATATTCTCTTCATCCCTAAATATTTCTCCAGCTTTGCTCCCCTTATTCATTTATTTAAGATTTATTTTGATTAAATCTATTATTTGAGGCCTTATTCTGAGCATAAGTCTCAAGTAATCAGTATCCATGGTCCTGACCAGTAGTTAATAAAGCTTGCTTCAAATTTGGCTAAAAAAAAAAATCTATCATTTGAACTTACCACTTAATTTATATATTATTAAAATGTTACTGAATACTAAGTGTATGTTAAATGCATTTGTTACATGTGAGAACTTCGAGTTGTGGTCTTTCTTGGGGAGAGTCCTTGTAAACAGGTAATTATACTCCACCATGGGAGGACTTATTAAGAAAGGACTGTCAGCCGTAAATGATTTCTAGTAAGTAACCATTGGTTGTGTTTGCTCTAGAGTTTTGTACGTTGTCGCCAGTCAAGCTCTTTGTCCTCATGGGGACACGGGTGGAGGGGTTCCTAACTCAGTGATGTGTGTTTTGTGTGTTACGGGGACAGGACTGTTAGGGAAGGCTTCTCCATCTCAACCAAATTAGAAGAGCGGTTGTGACATGAGCCATGCCCTTTAGGGTATTGCTCTAGTGGAGGATCGTCTTTGGAGAGGAGGAGGGGATTGTACTTCAGGGTTCCTTTCATTCCTGAAAAGCACAGAACTGCCCATGCCCTGAATGTCTGAGCAGCAGGGATCTGGTTTCTTCTGGAAGACTAAGGGTGGAGGTGTTACCAGGTCACAGAGCACTTGCTCATACGAGAGAAATTCTGAGCACCGTGCTAGCTTCCAGGAAGCTTGTTACATCTTTATCTCTATATTGTATCTGGTAAACTGATCACCTTTCTTTCTTTCTACTTTCAGTGGTGACTCAAATCCAGTTAAAATGTCTCCAGAAATTGCCTTGAACCGAATTTCTCCAATGCTGTCCCCATTCATATCTAGCGTGGTCCGAAATGGAAAGGTGGGGCTGGATGCTACAAACTGTTTGAGAATAACAGACTTGAAGTCTGGGTATGTATCAGAGCTAATGCAACTTTACCTTTATAGTAAACTTCTTACTGGAAATTCATGAAAATTGACCATCTCTGGTAGCTTTCAAGTCATGATCTCACTACTGGCTGATTCAGTTGAGTTAAAAAAATGTTTGTGTGTGTGTGTGTGTGTGTGTGTGTGTGTGTGTGTGTGTGTGTGTGTGTGTTGAGGATTGAACTCAGGGTCTCACACATGCTAGAGAAGAACTTGACCACAGAGTTACATGCTAGTCCCCAATTCATTTGGTTTTATTTAATTCTTGACATTTCATGCTTTGTGTGTATGTGTCCACATGTGGGCGTTAAGGGCCATTTATTTCTACTGTTCATGTTCTAATATTCATGTGTTTTTTCTGGCTTATCTCTTTGGGTTTTAGCACGTGGGTTTTTCCTTCACTGGCTTGCTTTCTTGTTTACTGCAATATGTCATACACTGTAAGAACTGGGTTTAGAGATGCTGTGTCTGACATCATTTGATAATCTCCCTTAATACAAAAATTACAATAGCTCGCCAGAACGAGTGAGTCATTCTTCATAATGGGGTCAAAGCATCGAGTCTCACACCTGGATATATTGTATTAAAAATAATACAAAACAAAACACTCCAAACAAAACAAATTTAAGAAAAAAAAAAAAGAAAAAAGAAGTGGAAAATCCTGCTACACATTTCATCTAAAAATAAAATTTGAGCTACAGAAAAGACTGAAAAATACTATAGGAAATTACAGTAGTAAACTTGGTTGTCAACTTGACGGACCTAGGAAGAGGGCCTCTCAGTTGAAGAA